GTGTAGTGTCCAAATTTACATTCATATTCGAGGTAGGTAAAAAGTACCCGGATCACCTACTACTTCCGTAAGGTTTTTGGGGGTGCACATTCGAAGGACACTTTATTACCCCATGACCCCAGGGGAGAAAGTAGGCATATTTAGACAGAGCGATTGTGTTTAAATCATTAAAGTAAACCTGTAGATGGAAAAGAAAACTCCTATAAAAGGAGGGCAACCTGAACAACTTAATCAAGGTCTTCAGGACAACATGCTGTATCCAAAATCCCTCTCTGAGGTATTTCTTTTGGATAAGTAATTACTTTGTGACCATTGAGTATGTTCACTTCACTGCCATTAACAGATCTTCTCCTTTGGCCTCATGGGATAGTAAAGTGTTCATTGGATGCTCACTTCAGAAGCAAGAAGCAGCAGGTCATCAGGTAGGCTACTTTTTGCCTACTGTTTTATGAATACTGTTAATTCTTACATACTACAAACCTTTCACTTACTGTTTTTTGCCTACTATATGGGAGAAGCATGCATATTCAGATGATGTTATAACATTATGTTGCTGATTACCTGATATAGGTCTGCGACTGCGTGTCTGCCATACTGGAAAGGTCACGATCAGTGTTGCCAGACGTACGATAATTATCGTATTTGAACGATAATTTTGACCTCTGTACGATGTAGCCTACGATCAATGATGAAAAAAATCCCATAATGTACGATAATTTCAGAATTTTGTGACACTTCAATTGGAGGTCATTGTAATCATATTGCTTCTAAACTCATTGATCTAGCTGTGGATCTACGTCATGATTGTGAGGAGAAAGTGAAGGTGAGAGAGCACGGCAGAGACGGAGAGAGCGAGAGACCTTGCGTGTGTGCCTCATGAAAGCTACACCCCCCGTCAACAATCCCCTTCCCCTCCCGCAAAAACCGTCTATGGCAAAAATTAATCCTACTCAGATCCTACTTATCCCAAAATGTTAATGACTTCTCTTAAAGGGATAGTTCACCCAAAAATAAAATTTCTGTTATTTACTCACCCATGTTGTTCTAACCCTGCATAAGTTTCTACCAACATCCTTCAAAATATCTTCTTTTTAGTTCAACAGAAGAATGAAACTCCTACAGGTTTGGAACAACTTAAGGGCGAGTAAATGATGACATAATTTTCATTTTTTGGGCGAACTAACGCTTTAAAAAAAAAAATTTCCAGCAAACCTCAAATAAAGTTCTCCAAAAAATAAATATGCCCTGGTAAACATTTTGAAGACTATTACACAGCCAATTAGTTTATTATTTGGGTTAATAATTATTAATAAGGCACAATCTATCCAGTGTAGGCTACTGAGGTGGCCTCCTCTCTGTTGATTGCCATTCAAAAAGATCTGGTGACCGTTCCTGGATGGCAGCGCTGTTCACATTGGCGACCAGGACCAGAGTCAATACTGCTGTCGATGTTATCTTTTTAATGTTGTGAAACTTGGACAAGTAAAAGTGACATAGCTTAGCAGTTAGCAAATATCAGCATAATCTGTTCCACAAGCCGATTGCCTCAGGCTCAGTGTGTGTGTACAGTCTCCATCTAGTGCCCATAAAAATAAATGCATGTGCGCTTAATATAATATACCTAGTGGACAACTTTAAAGGGATACTCCACCTAAAATGAAAATTCTGTCATCATTTACTCACCCTCAAGTTGTTGCAAACTTGTATGAGTTTCTTTCTTCTGCTGAACACAAAGAAAGATATTTTGAAGAACGATTGGAACCAAACCGTTGTGGGGCACCATTGACTTCCATAGTATTTTTTTTCTACTATGGAAGTCAACGGTGCCAAACAACTGTTTGGTTCCAATCGTTCTTCAAAATATCTTCCTTTGTGTTCAGGAGAAGAAAGAAACTCATACAGGTTTGCAACAACTTGAGGGTGAGTAAATGATGACAGAATTTTCATTTTTGGGTGGAGTATCCCTTTAAATGTTATATGTAATATATATTACATGGGTAAAATTTGCTTTGACAAAACAGGTTTGAGAATATTTAATGGGCCCTTTCTAAACACATGGCCACATGACAAAAATAAATAATTTTGCTAGAATAGGCCTACACAGCATACCCCACTCTCCTCTATATGACAAAATAATCAAAGAAACCAGTGTTTATTATTATATTCTTTTATTGATTTGTAAAACATTTGACCAATATTACATGAAATCAGGAACATGAATTTACAATACTTAATGATGAAAAAGAAGAGAGAAAAAAACAGACATTTTTAACCGTTTCATGAATGGTCATATTCAACTGGTTTTGTCCTGGTGAGCAGGCATACTATTGTTAGCCTGTAAACAGCTAGCATTTGCATTACAGTTTTCTTTATGGTACCGATTCACTCAGAGACAGAAGTGCTTCAGTACTTATGAGCCATTTAGTGCCACAAACTTTCTATTGATCTCCTGTCCTATGGTGCCCAGACAGAAGAGAGGTAAAGAGCATGTCTCTCTTCATCAACTCTTTGTCAGTTGACTCTGTCATCAATTCAAATCCATCTTCTACTCCATTTTAGGATTAACCTGGCATGAGGTATTGACCATAGAGTGTATATATGCGAGGTAATGTTTGAGCATGTGTGATTTGCATGGTAGATGATGTCCACTTGACAGATCACCGTTTAAAAAGAGAAAAAGAGAGAAGGCCATGCTCTGTCATGTTTTGTGGAATTTGTTTTTGCGGAGCAGCAAAATCCAACTGAGCAGTCAGAATAAAGAGGGGGAGGGGCCTGAGGATGGCCAACCAATCCCAGCAGCAACTGAACACTGTCAATCATGGAAGTGACCACACCTTAACAGCTCTCAGCTTTCTTGTGAACATGTACGTTTGTTGTCTGTCAGTCCGTGTTTGTGAATGTTTAAACGTGTTGGAGAAAGCTACGGATACAAATACTGTACACACAGATAATAATAGTTTAAAAAAATCTGATAAAACAGCTGTTAAGGCGTCTTTGTTGTTTAGTGATATTCATACATGAGGTACTGGGTTGTCCATGTGAGCCACTGCACAGCAATAAATACAAATATGAATCATAAAAAAAATACAAATCAAATGTGTCTGTTCCCCAGAGAGGTAGTTTGTTATGGTTACATTTTGGACTAGGAAAAGAGACCAACATCAATTTCATCTCTGTCTTTCTCATGTCTCGCCATCATCACCATCATGCATAATGTATATCTTGCAATGGTTTAAACATGACATGTCCTGGTTTGTCTGATATTAATTTATGGTAAGTGCTGCACGGATATTCTCACTCGTTCATCACAAAATCAGAACAAAACAAATAAGTGAATGATTACAAAATCGCTCAAAACTGGAAGATTGTTTTCCAGTTTAAAATTGAGTGTACACCCTCATCCCACAAAAAAAGTACTGAGCAGCTTAGTATAGAGAGAAGGCATGAAGACGAGAAAATAGACTGTCGAAAGAGAGCAATAAGATAGTGAATATATATATATATATATATTCACCAGCACTGGGCAGGAGGTTAGCATTCAATCGTACTTTCCTATATTTGCATACATACCCACACATACACACACAACCATCTGCCCTGTGCCTCCACCTGTACAGATAACAGAATATCAAAACTAGTCTACAAGAAAATATTTTAATCTTTTACATTTGCAAAGTAATACTCATTTATATATATATATATATATATATATAGCAAACCTTCCATATCATTAAATCTTAAGTGCCATGACTAAGTTATTTATTAGTAATTTACTAAGGAAACAATAACCTTTTCACTCACACACAAATTACCCATCTATCCTGGGCCGAATATGTGACACCCAATCAAATATGAATATACTTGGTGTATAGGTAAATGCTATACATCGCCCTCGCTTCAAAAAACACACGCTTCCACAGACACACACGCGCACTGCGCTTGCCTCGCTGAGGAACCGCAGTTTCCAGGTAGTTAAATTCAGCTTACATGATCATTAAATCGTCGACCCAGTTCCGACACCAAACTCACACCTACAGACAATCTTCATTAACGATGATTAACTCTCATACCACAGAAGAGGTTTTCCTAATGACCCTGAGCCCTGACAGAAAAGTAGAAGATTCATACAAATCAGACTTGATTAAAAAAGAGATTGTGGAGAAAGTGGAGAGAACAAGATATATAAAGCAACAGAGATAGTGCTCTGTAAGAATCAGCCCTCTAATGCGACTCAGGGAGTCGACAGTCTCGCAAATATCACATTCAGCTATTATACACAGTGGAGAAAAGGACTCTTACAAACTTAAAAAGCATATTTAAAATGAATAACTGTGAACGACTAAGGCCAAGCTAAGGCAGCTGTGTTTGGTTTAGAGGACACAATGCAGGCAGTGGCTAGAGTGATATTAACACGACGCACAAAGACATGCAAAAACGTCTATACCATGGCTGACATGGTATTAGGTGTCTGTAATTACTGTTTAGATAATAACAACCAAGCATAAGAAAAGAATGTGCTGAGTTATGCTGTAATTAGATTATGCTTTGAAGAACCTGCCTGTGCAAACAAATATCAAAAACACCCAGGTAGCATGTAAAAACGTAGTTACTGATGACAAACATTAAGATTATAAATTATCCAGCATGCTGCTATTAGAGTTACCTTAAAAAAAAGTGAGAACCAAACAAGTCTTATTTCTCAGTAAATCATTCCTACTAGTGTTTGATGCACAAAACCAAAAAATTATTTGAATCTCCCAAAACCTGTCAAGAAGATACCCGTGTCATATTTCAACCCAAAATAAAGTAAAAAATTTTTGTTGTTGCAATTTTACAATATTCTCAATACATTTTTCCAATTAATTATATTTATTAAGAACATTTTCTGATAAGTTTTCATTACTGTAATGTGAGAAAAAAAGTTATTGATAGAATACGAAGAAAAAAAGAAATATTTAAAATGTTAAGCATGTATAGATAATTGTAATCTAGATTATATATTAATTTTCATATTACAGTAATTAAAATTACATTTGGGGGGGATTTTTTTTTCTTTTGGCTTGAAATATGAGAACCTAGAACTTTTTTTTATTATAGCTTTGTAACTTGTGAAACGTACTATAAATTGAAAAGGGGGGGGGATCATGATAAAAAGCATTCAGGATATTGAGGATTTCATGTGGAAAAACAAATGTGATGACTAATGAAGAAGGTTAAAGCTTTGTTAGGGAAAAATGCAATTAGTTGGATTAATCTGAAAAAAAATATTAAAGAAAAAATTAATGATGGAATGCAAGAGCTGAGAAATAAGTAACCTATAGGATTTACAGTTGTGACTTCACAACGATGTAAAGATCAGAGGTAAAGCTCTCAGTTAAAAAAAAACAAACCCATAATTCATGGTTCCAATTCCTGTGTGTTTGTATAAACGCACAGTTAGATTGTAGTCTTTACATATTGATTATAGCCAGCCAGGGCTGCAGGGTCTCTCTCTGCTAGATTCTACCATAAGCCACAAGAAGCGCTTATATTAAACTCTATTTACACTAATCGAAAAAGGTATGAATATAGATACCAAGACCTATTTACAGGTTAGCTGTGTGGCAAGCGCTAATGCTGCCCTAACCACTTTGCAGAGGCGTCAGATAATAGGCCAATCACAGCAGAGGCAAACATTAGAGAAGACAGCCATTGTGTAGCAACCTATCAGAGCTCTGGAGGCAGAGGAAGGGGGCGGAGCTGCCGTTTAATTGGTTAAGTGGCTAGGCGAGGAGTGAGTTGGGTGAGCAGTGTGCTTGCATTAGTATTTTTAACCCTGTGCATTTAAAGGCAGGAGGTGAAGAGACAGGACATCAGCAGTAGTGGACAGCGCTTTGGGGACCATGCAGAGGTTTAGAACAGGACCGCACACCCACACACTCATCCTACACATGCAGTGTAATACTGTTGGCTATTGATAATACAGTAAAATATTACTGTATTGAGTTGCCACAGTGAAAAACACCATGACCATATTACATTCTTGTAAGAATGTACTCCTTACATACAACAAACAAGAGGAAACATCTATGGCACTCCCTTAGCTGATCTGAAAATGATGAGGGATACACACACAAACACATACATCACTCACAAACTTCGTCCTGGAAACTCTGTATGCATTTTAAGGTGATTGTCCGTACATTCACTCCACACCTCTTCGGGTCACACCGTTTAACCCGCACATCTTGGATCTGACTCGGGTGAAGTAACTAGGTGACCTGTCCTCCGAACACTTCCAACACCAGAGGGGTCAGCTGCATGCTGTGTTCGGGCTGGAAAGAAAGGGAGCGGTACTGCTTGGAGTGCTCTTCGTTCAGGCTACGGAGGTCCGCCAGCTTCTGGATCATCTTAGCATAGAGCAGACGGCCCCCAGGGTGATGCGCGAGGATGTACGCCTGCAGGACCTCAGATAACCTGTCCTGCAACGCTTCCACTCGCACGTGGTCCTGCACCCCGGGACGGTCTACGAGCACACAAACACAGACAAATGAGATTCCTGTTTGCAAGCATGGGCATGTTTTTAAAAAGTCTCAGTCTGTCTAATGTTTAGTGTATTGGGAATACACACTGACCTGGAGACAGCAGACAAATAGCCATCAGCAGCACATGTTCCTCCTCATGTAGATTGAGCTTTTTTAAGCCCACCTGAAACTTCACCAGAGGCTCCAACAGCTCCAGAGTGTGTCCAGCTGCGCCCCCAAACATACACAAAATCAGGATGATTTCATAAGGCATAACCACGGGTGCTGTTCATCATAAACTAAGGACATTTAAAAATATATAATTATTATTTTTGAGAACCCAAATGTGACCCCCCCCCCCCAAACCCAACAATATAGCTATTGTTTTATAATTCATATTTAATTATTATTATTACATAATTACTATAATTATAATTAAAAATTTACAAACTTAAAAAAAAACTTACAATACAATAAACAATACTTTCCTAGCATTTATGATAATTTCTAATTCAATAATTAGTATAATTAATAATAACAATTATTATTAATATTAATCAATAATTTAAAACCTAAATATGTCATAAATAAAACAATAAACAATACTTTCATTGCATATATTGGTAACATTTATGGTAAAATGTTCATTTGTACATATACATTTCAAGGCAATGTATTATGAACTAATATGAATTCATTTACAATAGTATGTTTATAAATTAACATAAACCTAGATTTAAAAAAAAATGCTGTAAAAAATAATTAATTGTTAGTTCATGATACCTAATGGTAACGAATTGTAAAAAGTAACTCAAACTTCTTTTTGTGAAGTGTACGTGCTATATGTCCTTTTTTTTCTTTTCTTTTTTTTTTTTAAAGATTTACTATTTTGGTATTAATCATCAATACAAAGATTTGCATACATTTTCAAGTGTGGTCCAAGTGTCAAAATAGTTTTTGCAGCCAGTGTAATTTTCTCCATGCATAAAAATGGGATAAAAAATATTTAAAAAATAAAAATAACACATTTCACCTTTAACCTGCAATGCACTTTTAGAAATCATAAGATTAACTGCTAATGAGAAATAAAATACAGTAAAACTTCCTCTTCAAAATCAAGGAAAACTGTTCAGTGTAATTTTAGTATGATTACATATTATTGTAGTATTTATTAATGTTTTGACTTAGCTTTTATATATATATATATATATATATATATTCAGTTTTCATTTTAATTTGTTATGTGGTCTTTTCATTTTTATTATAGTTTTTAACATTTATATTTTGCTTCAACTTATTTTTATTTCAATTTTAGTACATCAACTTCAATTTGTTTTATTTTAGTTAGTTGCCAAGGCAACATTTCTAATTTTCGTTTCAGTTTTTTAAGTTTAAGTTGTCCATGTAATATCTATATCTTTTGTTTCAGCTTTATTTCATTTAACAATAACAACGCAACTGTCTATCCCTGTGAGCTTGAGTTTGTACCTTTTGTCACATCATTGACGCAGTATTTAAAATCTGGTCCTCCACAGCTCCAACTCATGTCCTCTAGACTGAAAGACTGGTTAGACCTTAGCATGATCACTTCTATAGCACTGGACTTCAGCAAAGCAATCTGATCTTCAGCTGTCAGCTCTCTGAGACACACACAAACACATACACGTCAAATGTTGGCTCATGCTGGATTCTGTGAATGGCAGATGTAGAGGGAGTGGGTGAATCCAGTTCAGATAACATGACACTCCTATGGTTACCACAGCAACCTGCGCTCCGTAATGCATATGCATGTACGCACATTCTTAGGAAGCGGGGAAATACATGGACGTGCACAGAGGAAGGCAAGAAACATGTACTGAGAGTGACGGTTTAGAAGGTCAATCCTATTTTTATGTTCCTGAGGAAATCAAATAGATGGCACTCATGTCAACAATAACCTGTTGGGAAAATGGTGGAACTTTCCACAAACGAGCACCACTAAATGGATGAAAGGAATATAGAACACCCTTGTTCAGGGTCCACAAAAGATTTTGGTTCCAGGCCCTGTGAAATTAAGAACCAGCCCTTGCCATCAGGGATATCAGGGTTGTTCACCATTCAGTTGAATTGAGCAAGACAATTCAATTCTGAATTCAAACAAGACTTAGAATTATAATTTAAATTCAAATTTGAAGAAGAATTAAATGAATGGAATGTAATTAAAGAAATATAGCTGCTTTAAATGTAGTTTTTAATAATATATAACATAATTATGTATATATTATTAATCAAATAATACATAATTTAAAGGCACAATATGTACGATTTTTTCGCCACAAGAGGGCGCAGTTTCCAACAATAACAAAGGCGTAGGTTGATGACGCAGTGATGAGCTGAATGATGAGACTTGCTGTCAAGCTGATGGATCTAATAATGTTTATGGATGAGTGCAAACAATCATGTTTTTTAACATTACTGGCAGGTCGCGATTGCTAAAGAGACAGATATCACACGCGAGTCCCGCGGATATAAAGGAATAAGGACATTTAATTCTACCGAACTACACGCAAGTGCTGGATTACTCACACAGGTCAGTTTATTAAACGAATTAAACTTGTGAGGTAACACAGCGCTGCTTCACTTGGTCTAACGTTACACTATCACACTAAACGGCATTTAAATGTGTGTTGAAAGTTATAATGTTATACTACGTGTTAGTTCGTTTGCTATACGAAACTAGCAGTAAGCTAGCCTCGTGAGACCATCCTGATCTCGCGAGCTTTCAAGGTTTCACTCGCAGATCAGTCTGGATACTTTCCGTTAAAGAAAATTTGGGAGCAGTTCACCAAACGAACGTCCAATCAGCGTTGGCTTTGAGGCGGGTTGAGGTGTGACGCAACGAGAAGCGCGTCAGTTCAGTCTAAAGAACATGTCGGCTTCAGCGGATGAAACTAGCATCAGCGTGGCTATCGAGCAAGTTTTACAGAGTATTTCTTCACTGAAAGAAGAGCAAAACACTGCTCTGGAGGCTTTTCTCAGAGGAAAAGATACGCTCTGTTAGTACGTCATATGCTTCGTTGATCTGATTGGTTGATTTGGCCCGTCTATCACCAACATAGGCCAATCAGCTAACCAGTATTTTCGCCCCTTACCAAAACTACTTCAACGGAAGGTTTCCAGATGGATATGCGGAGCAAATCCATCTGGCGGAGTCAGGTTAGCAGTAAGCTAGATCAACATTAGAATAACATACTGACCATATTCTAACATTTCATCATGTTGAGCTAACGTTATATTACATTGATTTGTTTTATGTACATTTGCTCACCTGTCTAATAAAGCTGTCAAGTCGTGACTCGTGAAGCTCTGTCGAGTCCAAGTTAGTCGCGGACGTGGAGCTCTCGGCATCTCAAAAACGCCACGCTGATATTGATCCTCATTTTAGTTCTCCTTGTTTGTCCCAAAGTCTGCTTGCCATAGTCCATAATGACTGAACAAAACAACAACAGCGTGCAGCTAAACGTTATGCACTACGCGGTTGTCCACGTCTGTCGCCATGGTTACGTCATGGCTATGGCAGTATGAACGGAAACCGAGGATAGCGCGGATATTGCGTCATTGACAGGGAACATTTTTTTCTGGGACGGCCACTTATTTAAAATTGGAATTTCTCTGAAATAAAAAATCTTTGGAGACTTTTGGGATATTGTAAGTACACAACTGCAGGAAATATATCACACTGTGCAAGTGATTTTTGGATATTTTGTTACAAAATTCTTACATATTGTACCTTTAATAAATTACTTTAGATTACTGTTGAATTTCTTCAAATTGCAATTCAGTAATTCCTCCTGCCATTTCAATTAAAATGAACTCATGAATTTCCTTTACCTGAATCCAGGAATCATCTTAGCAAAGCCGATGACTTTTTGAATGCTGTAGGAAACCAGGTCAGCCAGGTGAGGGAGCATGGAAAGACCGGAGCCCTCATCCTCCTTTGAGTCCGGACTGGAGCTCAAACCCTGCTCCTGATACATCATCAACAGATTACTCAGATTCATCTTACGATCTCCTGACTCTACAGATGTGGAGAAAGAGATGGGGGGAGAAGAAAAAATAATTAATGCTTTGCTTCATCTCAGCAACCTTCAACAATTCATGTAATAGGTACACTGACTGCAGTTTGCATTAAATAAAATTAATGATTCATTTTTTTTATTAATTATTCTTGTGGTGGGCCAGTGAAAATGTTGGTAGGGCATGTAAAAATCTGAATCAATGGCCCAAGAAAAAATAAAAGAAATGGACAGGCACACTATTTTAATACACACTGGCTTATAACTCAGTCTACTTTGCTGAATAACAGAAGCGTTATCTCCCCCTTGTGTCTATTCCAAAATCTGCCATCACCTTATATAATACAGTCGGATAACAAACAACTTCTGTTGCAAACGTTTAGTGAATTGTATGGAAATAATGTGGAAAAAAAATCAACATTTCAGCAATTTTGTGCACATTTCATTTGCTGTCATTAAATTGCATTATGTATTATGACTGCACGATTATGAGAAAAATCATAATTGTTGCTTTTTACCCTTGATATTGTAACGGTTTATTAATTTGGATTTTTTTGTTATTCAGATTTGTAATAAATTATGCAAAGCTTGCAAAAAAAATAATTGAAGACATCTTTCCTGCATGTTTCCAGAGGTACACGTGACTGGTTGAGCCTGCAGCTCAACACAAGCTCACTGACTGTCAGCGTACTGTGTTCTGCACTCTTGCAAACGCCTTCATGAGAATAAACAAAGCTGTCAACAGGCAACACAGCCGAATAAATCTCTTACTTACATTTTCCCTATAGAGCAAACAATATCAACATATTTGAACAGCTGAAAAATAACGTTTTGATACAACATGAATAGATATAATTGTAATGCTGTCATTGACACTTTTCACAACGAATTAAATCAGCAGCATTTAAAAAATGTATCTGAATTGTATATCAAAAACAAATTTCAAGGGTTATTTAATATATTTGTTAAAAACCCAGAAAAAGGAAATTTATAAAAACTGATAACTGAAATTTATAAAAACTGAAATTTATAAAAACTTTGTGGGGACTAAAATGTCCCCACAAAGTATTTTTTGAACTTGTGGGGTCATTCGTAAGGTCCCGATGAGGAAATCAGCATATAAATCATATTAAATTACGGTTGTTGTTTTTTTCAAATGTTAAAATGCAGAAAGTTTTCTGTGATGGTAGGTTTAGGGTTAAGGGATAGAATATACAGTTTATATAGTATAAAAATCATTACGTCTATGAAAAGTCCCCATAAAACATGGAAATTTGTGTGTGTATGCACGCATGTGAATAGTCTGGTTGTCATTAGAGTGGCTCTCCTGTGACGTCAGGCATGGTGAGATGGACGGAGCCTGCTGTGCATATAAGAAACACAAACCTCTAACACACAAACCCTCATGCCTGCCTGCGCTTCACACTGGGCTGAAAAACATTTCTCAGAATGAACTTTACAGGTGATTTACGCACAAACGACTGTGTATACGTTTGTGTAGCATGTATATGCATTTGTGTGTGTGTTACCTGGAGAGTGGCTGAAGGAGTCTGAGGAGGCGTCTGATAGTGAATGAAGAGACGCGGCTCGGCTGGCACTACGTGTAACTGGACCCTCTCTAACTGGAGGCTGCAACACAAAACACACACACAGACATATGAATGCACTGAACATTAGCAATGTATGAATGCCTAAAAACAAAAAGGTGGACAATAAAAGTATTTGAACACTTAAAAGTATGAATGTCTCTATATTATATAACAAAATATCAAACTAATTACATTTATTTGACACATAAACATTTGGTCAGAAAAAAAAGAAAAGGTTTGTTAGGTTTCAAATAATACAAATATTGTTTGAAATTATTGTTTGAAAAGTTATCTGGACACTTTCTGGTTGTCGAATGTTAGTGGAAAATGTTAACGTACTAAACTATGGTATCATATATACACCAGTTTGTGGTTAGTAAGATGTTTTTTATTTTGAAAGAAATCAATACTTTTATTCAGCAAGGACACATTAAATCGGTCAAAAGTGATAGTAAAGACTTTTTACATTGTTACAAAAATGTATATTTTAATGCAGTTCTTTGATTATTCATCAAAGAATCCTGACAAAAATGTAGCACAGTTTGCACAAAAATATTATGCAGCAAAACTGTTTTCAACACAAAAATAATAAGAAAAGTTTCTTGAGCAGCAAATCAGCACAGAATTATTTCCCAAGGACCGTGTAAAAGGCTGCTGAATTTTAACATTTGACTTAAAATCACTTTAGCACCAGTTGATTGAGAAAAGTTTGTTCTGAATTTTTTTTAGAATCATTTGTTTGCAGAAGGCACTTGGTTTGATATTTATTATTATTGTTTTTTTTTAGGTCACTCAAGAGTATAAAAACACATTGGGGCCACTGTAAAAGAAGATATTAAAACTGGTTGAAAATAAGAGAAAGATATGCAGAGGAGAAGAACATAAAAGATTAGATTTACTCTGAAACGTGAGAAGTCAGAGTAGGAATCGTCAAAGGTTTTGTGATGCGCTTCCACAAGCGTGTCAATGATGTTGCGCTGCTCATCTGAGAGCCGGGGCTTCTGCGCCTCCCTCTGTGCCTCCTCATCCTTTCTCCTCTGGATCAGATCCTTTTTCCTCTGAACCTCTTCATCCGTCAGGATAACTGAAGGAAAAGATAGACGAGTATCATCACTATACCCATGTACTATCATTTTATTACAGGTAAAATACATCTAAAAATAAATTAGAAACTAAAATCAAATATTGTATGTTGTTCCCCAGTGTTCTATTATGACCATAATGCATCATAATTTAGTTGTTTGCTGATGATAATCAATAGCTTTAAATTCAGTCTCACAGACACTGATGAGGGGGAGACCAATATTTGTAGAAATATATGAGAAAAAAGAACTGAACCACAATATCATAAGACCCCCCCCCCCCCCCCCTTTTTTTTTTTTAAAACAGCTAAATCTACTGGATATTTTTCTTCATTTTCTACACTAAGCTGAGAATAATTATGATTAATTTTCAATCTCTCTGAATAAAAACGTAATTATTTATTTTTAAGTTTAACTGAATTTAACATCATTCTCTGTGCCTTCCCTGATATACTCTGGACTGGAGCACCACAAAATTTGAAAACATGGGGGCGATGTCCTATATGAGAACGTGCATTACTACCAGTTTATTTTGGATCAAACTGTGACCTTGAGCAATATTCAGGTTTATATGCTTGTTTGGGTCAATAAAACATTTCCATCAAATATTGCCGCTTTATGACTTGTCCAGAGCCATATAGAGTGAGAGTTGCGACAACTCCATTGACTCCAATGGAACGTTTTTTTACAGCAATGGCGGTTCGCGGAGCCTCTCAATAGTTCCCGGAAGTAGCAGCAGCGCGGTAGAGTTACAGCAGAACAGACCGTTTGTGATGCACTTTTAAAAGGTAAGACGTTTAAAGAATAAGATTGTATATTATCAGTACATCTGAATCAAATTAACTTGTAACTTTAACTGTATTAAAGCATGCTAGTTGATTATTGCTCTCTAAATTAGTAGTTTTAGGGGACGTTATCAGGTAAAATAAAGGTCATTGGATGAAGTTAGTACCGCATAACAAACCACGAACAGCATATTAATGTTTAAACCCGTTCTATTTATGCATGTTTATCCTTTGTTGTATAATAAGAGGGAAATACTTCTAAACAGAGGTTAAATATAGCATTGGGGAGTGTGATAGTTGTAATTGATTAAATGAGAATATCGGTTTCATTCCATATTAAATGTGCAATAACGGGGAAAAATCCTTATTTTAGATTTCATATTTGAGTAAGGAAAAACGTACGGTTGGCGTTTTTTATTCATTGTGTTTCCGTTGACTATTACCTGTCTATATTATGATTTAGCTCAGCTGATTTGTATTGATGGGAAAGGGAGATGGAAGTTTATAAGTAAGATTAAAAAACATGCTTAAAACGGCAGCAAGCCGTGTTTTAAATCAAATCACACTAGGCTAAATGGGGTATTATAAATACCATAACTGTATTATATACTAACTCCTATATATAATTTATCCCGTTTTTGTTTCCTTTATCTCTTTCAACACAAGAAGCACAAAGAGGATTCGGTGGATCCTGAAGACTCCTGCACTGACGCTGTACCTCATCAATCTCAGCTCCTTGGATTTTGCAAGACTTTACTTGCTCCCTATTTTTAATAAACATTAAACTTCCCAGTGTTGGTCTTTGTGGAAAAAGTGCAGATACACCTCAGTATGATTAGCACAAAAAATGTTTAGTTCTATTAGATTGCTCCTGACTTGACCATATTTTCTGTGTCTGACAACATAGAGGAAAGGCCAGACAACATGCTTGACGTGCAGTTTATTAGACATTTATAAATCCCATTGTGCTAATTCAGTGCAAAAGTGTATATATGTCATTGACAAATAAACAAATTACATCAGTTTTGAAAAGATTTAAAAAAACACATTTCTTTGTTTATTTGTCAATGACCTATATATAGGTCATTGACAAATAAACAAAGAAATGTTTTTTTTTAAATCTTTTCAAAACTGATGTAATGTATATTTTTGTGTCATGAACAATGTATTTGAACAAGTTTCAGTTGTGAACATTTCTAAGTGTTTAAATTCACCTGAAAGTGTACCAACCTACCCATAACTTTAAAGCAATTACCAGTATTTGATAGAGATCTACAAGGATCATTATGGCTCCTCTGGACAATGCATATCATGCACACTGCAATTACCATAATAAGAGAGCCATGTTTGCACTTGTGCCCCCCTGACATACAAATTGTTAGACAAAAGGTTTTCAATTATCAGCTATAAATCTACTGAAATGTATCAAATTTGTTTATATGAAAGGTTAAAATGATGCCATAGAATTTCATTTTTATTTTTTTTATGATTAAAACACCATTTAAATTAGTATTTTAGTCTGTTCATTTGTGCGGACAGTTACACAACCTGACATTTTGGGGGGTTTAAGATAACAAAACATAAAATATGTATTATCTAAATGTACTAAAAATGAATTTAAACTAAATAGGTTTTATAGATTAAAGTGATGTATGTCATGAATTTATCAAATTATGTTAAGGAAATAATGTACTTGGACACTTAGAAAATAATGTATGTGTGTGTGTGTATAATCATGTTTTGTTTTAAAATGAAATATATTATGTATTCATTTATATAGTAATAAGTGCATAAGCATTGTAAACATTACGATGAATGCAATTTTACATTTTACTTATTTGCAATGGCTTTTTAAGACAATCACCTGTTTCCTGCAAGTCTCCTGTCCTTGTGAAACCATAGTGAACATTACATGATAACCCTTAAATAACATACAAGTTTAAGAACACAAAAATACTTCAAAACAAATGCAAAACGGTCTTTAACCAAGGTAAAGTTAGCCAGAAAATATGTTAACAAAGGCAGGCAACACTGGTTGACCACAATAAACATTAAATATCAGCAGATTTTTTATCTTTTAAAAACAATATTGCTGTAACTACATACACATACTACATCCAAATGTCAATGTATAATATACATATTGTAAACCAACGCATTTATTGACTACAAACTACCAAAAATCACAGTTCAGCTCTCTACCTCCATCGATTTGAATTGGCGCCGAAGCACTTCCTGGAACTATCTGAGGTCTACGCGAATCACGTGACAACCAAGCATTTAGAACTTCCGTTGTCGCAACTCTCTCTCTATATGGCTCTGGACTTGTCTAATTCAAATTTATCTTATTTTTCTGTGAGTGGTGTTTGTTTAAAAAAAAAAAAGTGGCAACATATAAGCTGAACATTCCACTGATGATTCTTCAAAGCACAAGAGCAATTGAGCATTTTGAAATCCCTGAAGTACCTTTCACTTACAAAATGATTTGCAAAGAACTGCCACTCAGGATCATGTGCTCACAAATGGCAAAACTACTTCCTTATACGAAGTATCGCTTTGCTAACAACCTTGTGTAAGGGACCTTTCATCAATGAACCACCTTACTCGCTTCTGTCTGGAACAACCTTATAAATAACTGCCCCTTCCTGCAGAGCCCTTCAACACTGTAAAAATGACAGTTGGGACATGTTGAGACTCTTAGCAAGGTTAAATAAAATCGAAACTATAATTAAAACATGATATAACAAAGTGACTTGGCTCCCCGTGATCACTGTTCCAAGATGTGTCATGTTGGCTAGTAACTCACACTCTTTCATCATGCCAATATCCAGGCAACGCTTGAGTCTGCAGGCCTGGCAGTGGCGACGGTTATCTTTAGTGATGGTGCAGCTTCCATTAAAAGGACAGGTAAAACTGGCCTTCCGCTTCATACTGCGCCTAATGAACACACACATAAACTATAAATAGTCTGGCAGTATCACATTGGTTACAGATAATACATGTTAATGTGTTTCTTAATGAACATCGGTGTAAATGTGCGAATACCAAATTGGATGAGAGAAAGTGTGTGCGTGTGTACCTGAAGAAGCCTTTGCATCCCTCGCAGGTCATCGCATTGAAGTGAAAGCCAGTGGCTTTGTCTCCACACACACCACAGATCCGTGGAACATTACGGTCAAACTCATCTGGCACTTGAGTGGATGTACTAACGGCTGACTCCATCACTGTAGGAGACGAAGGAGGAGGAGAGACAGTCAGAGACATGCATACAAAATTGTGCATTTATGGGGATGATGGGAAGAAGAACACTGACTGTGTAATGTACACTACTGGTCAAAAGTGAAGGTTTTTATTAAAGTCTCTTCTGCTCACCAAGGCTGCATTTATTTGATCAAAGATACAGAAAAATTATTCCAATTTAAAAGAACTATTTGAATACATTTCATGTCACATGATCCTTCAGAAATCATTCTAATATGCTGAATTGGTGAACATTTATTATCATTGTCAATGTTGAAAACTATCATTTAAAAGTTTAGTGTAAGTAAGATTTTAAAAAGAAGAACAACATCTATTTAACAAGAACATCTTAAAATTATCTAACGTGACAGTAAAGACATTTATCATATTCTTTCGAACTTCCTATTCATCAAAGAATCCTGAAAAAAGTATCACATTTTCCACAAAAATATTAAGCAGAAAAAACTGTTTTCAACATTGAAAATATTGAAATATCTTATTAATAATAATTGAGTATATAAAGGGATCCACTGGAGGCAAGTGTAGATGAGAACCCAAGTGCCACATTTTCCCAAGTGTAGATGAGAACCCAAGTATCACATTTTCCACAAAAAATATTAAGCAGCAAAAACTTTTTTCAACATTGAAAATATTGAAATATCTTATTATTAACAATTGAGCATGTAAACTAAGGGATCCACTGGAGGCAAGTGCAGATGAGAACCCAAGTGCAGTTTATTACAAACAAGATTAAACATGAAACATGGCGTGGCATGAAAAACTCAAAATGAAGACATGAACATGAACTTACAAAACAGAGATTACAGTGAAACAAAACTTGACAACGACACATGGCAAACATGAGGGCTTGTTTGAGAAAGAAATTCTCTATTTCTTCAGCACTGACCGACAGCATAACAAAACCACAAATCATAACTGACATTCTTTAGCAAGTGTTGAATAATTAACAATCATTTAATAGAACAATATATCATTCTGATTAAAGCCATGAGACCAGTATAACAAACTGAATGGGGGGAAAACAGAGTTCTTTATATAAGCATCACTAATGTATGCGCATTGATAAACAGCGTACGAGATAGAGGGGAATATTAATTAGCTATCAGTGCTACACCACTGAGAAAGGGCTGGACCGCTCAGAGGATTGGAGTGGTTGTAGGAGACTGTGCAAATGAAAACAAACAGATGTCAGCTTCAAGATCTCCATAGGAAGCTTTTTTCAAAAAAGAAAAAGGTCAGCAAACACATAAACATGATAAAATCATTATAACTCCATGGAACAACCCATGAGAAAGAACAGCCTGGCCATAGAGACGGGTCGGCACAGACAGAGCTGGCTCCCACAAGAGGAGAGACTCTGCTCCCAGTGTGACCGGGGACAGGTCAAGACAGAGCTGCACTTTCTAACCTCATGCCCCAAATATAATACACTAAGACAAAAACACTTCCCAAACATTTCCCAAATATACCCTGAATTCGAATCCATATCAGACACACAGAAAATCCCATATTTACTAGGAGAAATGCCCAAATGTGATATAATTGCTGCAAAATATGTCTCCTCATGCCATGAAATGAGGACAACCAGTGGAACCTCAGATGGATAAATAATTGTACAAATTTTCAAATAATTATTATTTTGATTGTTTGATATTTTAGTAATTGTTTTATTTTATTTTTTATTGTTCACTTTTATTTATCTATATGTTTGTATATGTCTATTGCTTTGGCAATATTGTGCTATTGTACACATTCATGCCAATAAAGCTGAATTGAATTGAATTGAAAGAGCAGCCGTGCTGAAATGAGCCAGAGGTCACAGTGACACGCCAACTCAAACAGGTTAAAAAGCATCAGGTGATAAGAATATTGTCACAATAAATGTGTATAACAGCAAGTGATTAACCCATTCGCTGTAATAGAAAATGAAACCAGCAATGAAGATCTATGTGAAAGGTCGCAGGGACATCACGATTCTGTGTACAAACAGGAACAGCACAAACCAAATAAACACAACTCTGCATAGAGAGTGATGTCACGGTTTCCCTTTTTTCACTCCTTTTCGTGAGCTCTTCTGTATAAACGCAAAATCTTTCAACTGGTAAATATGCTGAAAGCTTCATCTAGTGCAAGTTCCACAACAGAAATACCAGTTCAGATCTAGTACACACGCGCACACACATGACGTGACCTCTTCAAGAGAAAGTTCTCAAATTACTCTAATGCACACCGAAAACTCACACTAATAAAACCATTTCAAAACACTTCAGCACATAATGATGCATTTATCTAAATTGGGCTGTTCATTTATTCATCTATTCAAAATGTGTGAAACATTTGCAATCCCAGTTTTTGAAGATTTAGTTGGCAGTCAGCCATAAACATGGCACTACTTATGTATATATTTTTGAAGGTAACCTGCAGATGGATGTTATTTTTCTTGACTTTTCAAGTAATGATAATGATTGTTTTTGGTTGTCAATATTTAGACGTCTTCAAAAAGGTGGATAGAAGTAAATCATATAATAATAAATGAAATTAAAATGATAAATAATAAATCAATAAATAAATAAATTATTTTATTTTATTAATAAAATGTGTGAACTTTGAAGTATAGGCCTACTGTCAGGGAATTACCAGACTCAAAGGCAGATAGACAGTGAAAACAACACAGGTTTATTGCAGCATTAGGATGTGAGCACACAGGTAAGTAAACGGGAAAATAGCAGGTTGGGGATAATAACTGGACAATCATAGCAGTCTTTACTGTGTTTTTTTTACTGCAGTCCTTGTTGTAGACCAGACCATCATTAGCCGCGTTTCCACTGTCGGGCCAGTGCTAGGCCAGGGCTTTAAACGGGCCGTGCCGGGCTAATAGCCTCGGGCCAGTAGCACCTGGCCTGCGTTTCCAATGTCGGGCCAGAATCTCCACAGCACGTCACTAAAACACGCCCGCAACACGCCTCTCTGGAACAACGTCACACTAACCCATCATTTCGCCAACAAATGGAAGTTTTATCAGAAAACTAATCAGAAAGAAATCACTGGAAACAGGGTGCATCGCAAAACAAACATGATAAAAGCGGCCGTTTGCTGGCATTTTTGTTGTTTACTTGAATATTTAAAACCCAAGCATCGATGTTTTACCACAGGTTTACAATAAAAAGTGATACATTGATCATAATGAATTAATTTATGTCAAAATTGCACATAGTCACACAGAAATAAATGACCGTTAGGTCTATTTCACAAAAGAAAGAGGACACACTTACATTATTCAGTCGAGGCTGTTTCTGTTTATTTGGTAGTTACAGGACATATATCACATTTAGAAAGAATGATAATTTCTACAAATAATGTTATATGCCACCAAAAATACGACCTGAGGAGCGTTAGCACAGTCTCGACTCCCAGTAGCTACAGATATATTTTCAGTCAGAGAAACAGGAAGCTCCCGAAAAAAAGTAGATAGTCCGGTATAAAGAGACTATATGTAGTATATGTAGGCTACTGACAGATAAAATAAAAACATGATTGTGATAGCCTTTATGATTGGTCTGACTTCTTCAAGCGTTCACCATGTGTTTTTACTATGCGTATCTTCAAGCGTTTACTATGTTTACTATGGTAATGGTTAGCGCGCATAGTCTTTTGCATCGCGTATAAATATTTCTACCTTATACGGTGATCAGAATCCACATCGGATCACAAACAGAAGGCATTAAAACATGAAAGTGAGTTAAATTATTTTAAAAGTCTTTAATGCTGACAGAATCATTCGGCGCTCCTGTCTCTCGACTTAGGTAATCCCCGCCTCTGTTCGTAACCACTCCTCTAGCCCGAGCTGGCCCGCTTTGGCCCAAGGTATTCGACGGGCCAGAAATCCTGGCCGTTGGCCCCGAGTAAGCCCCGATCAAGCCCCGGAAGTGACAGTGGAAACGCGACTGGCCCTGGCACGCACTAGCACGGCCCGGCAGTGGAAACGCGGCTATTGAATATGAAGTGTGCACTCTTATAGTGCTCTAGTCTAGACGGCTAGTGACTGGTGTCAGGGGTGGACGATGGCTGAATGAGTGCAGGTGAGAACCAGGAGGGATGCTGGGAAATGTAGTCTAGAGTGCATGTGACAGAACCCCCTAATCCCTCCTAAACAATATAATCCATTGGGGAGTAGACAGAGGGAGAAGCCAGGGAGGAGACCATGGTGGAGCCACGGACTGTAAGGACCGTGCGATGATGCTGGTCCCAGAGTGTAGGGCGGAGCAAAAGACCACCACAGCGATGCAGACGGGGCTGACGACCCCCACGGTGGAGCAGAAGGCAACCACAGCTGAGCAGAAGACCACCACAGAAACTGACCCCTGGTTAGCAGGCTGACTGGCAGATAACTGGAGTGCCGGCAGACATGCTGACCTCTGGTCGAGCCAGAGAAAAAACAGACAGAAAACAGGAGTTCAAGGGTGGCCATCAAGGCCATGAATGAGGCCATCAATGAATGATCAGCCTCCGTGCTCCGTGCCCATGACGAGGGAGCTTTGATCGGCCTCGCCCTCCGTGCCCATGACGAGGGAGCTTTGATCAGCCTCCGTGCTCCGTGCTCCGTGCTCCGTGACGAGGGAGCTTTGATCAGCCTCCATGCCCGTGACAAGGGAGCTTTGATCAGCCTCCATGCCCGTGACAAGGGAGCTTTGATCGGCCTCCGTGCCCGTGACGAGTGAGCTATGATCGGCCTTCGTGCCCGTGCCAAGGGAGCTTTGATCGGCCTTCGTGCCCGTGTCAAGGGAGCTTTGATCGGCCTTCGTGGCCGTGACAAGGGAGCTTTGATCGGCCTTCGTGCCCGTGACAAGGGAGCTTTGATCGGCCTTCGTGCCCGTGACAAGGGAGCTTTGATCGGCCTCCGTGCCCGTGATGAGGGAGCTATGATCGGCCTCCGTGCCCAGGGAGCTTTGATTGGCCTCCGTGC